GATATGTATAAAGACTGCAAAGGCTGAAAAAAAGTCTGGATGAAATTGGAGGTAGTTTGAGGATTAAATTTTTTATGCTTTTTAAGCTCAAAAGTGGGGGGGGGTCGTATTATACATGAGATTCTATTACCGTATACACAAATACTGTAAATATATGAGTTAGTGTTTTAGGGCTAGTGGAACAAATTTTTAGATTAGTGCTGCACACCACTGGTTATAGCTTAGCCACCAGAGAACTCCCACTCGACTGGTAATAGCTTTTTTGCAGATGTTTTCAGACATTGCACCTAGCCTGCACCTTCAAATTTAACCAATAGAAAACAGGTTTGTGATGGTCCGACACAGGCAGAGTGACGGTCATCTTAGCGGTTAGCATTAGCTTCCACTAATTCTTTCTATCTGTTTAGCGATTTAGCATTAGCAGCCCTAAGTTTCTTGTTTTGATTTATATATTTAGATTTTTTTTTCCCATTGGTGACACTTTCTCTCCAAACTCCATTTCACGGAAGCTGTCAGTCTGTTTGAAGGCTAAAGGAGGAAAAGCAAAACTAAACTCTGTTTATTAAAAGTGCAACGTATAAGAAAGGTTTTCTGTTTTCAGTGCAGCTACGATGGTTTTTTTCACAACACAAGATAACAAACTGTTGGTGTGTGTCCCTGTGGGCTCCCTTGAAACATCTTTGTTGGACTTCTGTGTCTGCAGAAATATTTAACCATCAACCTCTGAAAATGTTAACGGACCATGAAGCTTCACAACAACAGAGGCATTGGTCTTATAATATATGACTTGTGCTTTGAGAGGAGACTCTAAACACAACAGGTTTATGTTCAGACTAACTAGCTGTTATTACTCTGGGCCTAACGGGAAGCGTGATGCATCTCTGCGCACAAGTATTATTGTCCAGGTCGGCGACAGAATACCAATTTGTGATTCTCTGAAAATTGTGAAAGATACGTTTGTCGTTTGGATGTGAGAGGTTTTTCTGTCTCTTTGTTCATGGAATTTCAATTTGCCTTCACTTAAGATGCTGATTGTGATGCGAGTTGTCTCCAAATGTATGTGCGTGCGTTTCCTCCATCCTGGTTCGACCCTGGTGTTTTGCATATCTCGTCACTTTGTGTTTGTTTCTTCTCTTCATCCTCGCCTCGGTTAGCGCCCGGTCCCTCTTCCATCTCCTTTTGTAATGGAGCTGAATTCTCTCTCTCGGATCCTTACATACCTGCCTGACCTCAAGTCTGTTTACTGCTCTCCTTCACTCCCACACTCCTYCTTTCTCCCATTTCTGCTTCTACACCAGTAATCAGCAGTGAGGTGTCTCTGTCTGGATCTGTCATATTGTTTCTGCATCCTCCTCCTCTTTTTCCTCCTCCTGAATCAGTGGCAACACAATTATCACTTTTCATACCTTGTTCGCTCCAGCTCTTTTCCTTCCTCTGCCWTCAGCATCTTTCACGTTCTTGCACAAGAGCTGCTTTTCCCATTTATTCGTTTCTATTTAAAATGTAATTTTTCTTCATTAATTCGCTGCGCAAACGCACGCACCTGTGCTCTTTAAGTTACACATATTCACCGACCGTGTTGCCGTTTGAATAATGAGGCATGCTAAAGTGGTCCTTGAGTTTGTTTTTAACTGCATTTATTGCTTCAGCTCATGCATCATGCATGGGTTTAAATGATGCTGCAACATGCAGTTGATCAATGTGTCGCAGTCAGACGCACACGGCGTTGCAGAGGCTCGGTTCTGTAAACTTGTCACAAAGAGATGGACACCGTTTCAGACAGATGGTGCCTTACGCTGTCCGGGGGAGGCTCCCTCCCTCCCAGAGAGACGCCTGTGTCTCTGAGCTGTCTTCTCCTCCGTGCACTAGAATAATAATAATAATCATCATCTTTACATTATTCATTTATACACACTTTCACACACTGATGATGGTAAGCTAATTGTAGCCACATCTACCCTGGGAACCATCTCTATGATTTCTTTGACTATATTTGCTTTCTTTACCATTTTCATGTGTACAGTGTGAGAAATTTAACCCCAAAATCATCCATAAAGAGAGGAGTCGTATTATTTCTAATGTACTCCTGCAATAAGTTCAATGTTTTCTCATGTATAAATGAAATATTCTGTCACATGGAATAAATCATCATAAATACATAAACTACACTGATTTGGTAAAACAAAAAAAAAAATTCCACAGTCTTAGTTTTCATGGTGCAGTGAATCCTGGGATATCCTCGTTCAAGAAGGTTACTCAGATACAGTCTTCATTTTCGTGTTTTTTTTTTTACGCAAGCGACCAACAAATGCTTCGAAGGATGCAGCCAAAGACGCAATTTCTGTCTCGCAGCCTTGTCAGCGAGACACACTAAGCCAGGCTTTAAATTCTGTTCCTCTAAAGCAGGGGTCTCCAACCAGTCATGAGCTCATTTAAAGCAGCTCTTCAGTTCTTGTGAAAAATTAGGAGTAGCAAAATTTAATTTGTCACTGGCCGAATAAACTTTTATTCATATCCAGTCAATCTATAGATGTCCCTCTCCCTTGGTTGTCAAACAAACACTCTCGGGCTCAGTATGGTTGAATGGCAGACGAACGGACAATGCGCAGTCACATGGTTGTTTGGCGTTAGTTTTTGCACACACTTTTCATAGCTCCTTGAAATACACCATGCCGGGCTCCTGGGAAACCCCTCCCACTGCAGCATATGTCACTGCATGGGGTTTCTTCCTGTTGGAGTCTACGATGGGGGACAAAAGTCCGAGACCCGTCACCCAACATTTGTGCACAGATCTGTCCTGGTTAAACCCTGAGTTTGCAGTGTGAAATACACTATAATATGAATGGATAAACACAAAAAGCACGTTCATGTAAATTCAGTGTTCTTTGTGATGGTTTAATGTGAGTTGAAGACAATGTTTTTGTGTATGTTCAAGCAAAACAAGCCAGGGGTGTAAGAAAATATCGATACACTGAAATATTGCGATATTTCATTTCCCGATACTGTATCGATATTCTAAAGCCCTATATTGATTTTTTTATTAAGGTTTAAAATGTCAACTTTCCTGCCAGCCGTTCATTTTTATGTTGTAGTTCAGCCTCTTGACCACTAGTTGGCAGCAGTGAGCCAGCCATTTGGCTCCTATCTGTTGAGGTAGAGGCTATTAAGTGTTGGGTGACCATATTGTAGAT